AACCTAAAGCTAGAGAGGTAGCTAGACGCCCTCCCTGCCTCATTCATTATACAGAACCCGATTATCTGCTAGGTGCTCTTTTGGGAGCAGGATTTCAGTACCAATTTAGGTCAAGGAAACGGGTGAGATCATGCTAAAGAATCGGGCTTTATTCTGTCAGCAACAGACAGAATAAACATCTAGTTAGGGCTGGGGGGTGTAGCTCAGTGGTAGAGCATTTGCTCTGCATATGCAAGGCCCTGGGTTCAATCCCCATCATTGCAAAAATAAATAAAAACCAGGGGCTGGGGTTGTGGCTCAGCGGTAGAGCGCTCGCCTAGCATGTATGAGGCCCTGGGTTCGATCCTCAGCACCACATAAAAAAAATAAACAAAAATCAAAAATAAATAAATAAAGTAAAGGTACTGTATCCATCTACAACTAAAAAAGAAATTCTTTAAAAATAAATAAAGAAAGAATCTGGCAGCTGCCCTCCACCCTGGGGGTGGGAGGGTCCCCGAGGGGCTTCCTGGTGGTCTAGCTGGGTCTGACAGGCCCAGAGGCCTGCGGCCGACCCGCCTCTGCCCCCCCTCCAAAAAAAGAATTAAAAAATAATAATAAAGAAAGAAACGCAACTGGTTCCTGGGCAGTCAGGTTGCCCCTCCAGCGTCCAAGCCCTCTGTTCCCCTTCTAGGGAGCAGGCTGCCTTGGGCAGCGGTTTCTCAGAAGTGTTGAATAATAAACCTGTATCTGCTGCCATCGTTTGTCCTCTCAGGTCCCACCCCGCAGTGACTCCTGAGGCGCATTTCCTAGAAACAGCTCTGTCCCCAGAGAAAGCTGCCTTTGAGATACAGATCACACCAGGCACCCAGAAGTCCAGTTCTCACCTGCAAGAATTTGGGGAACAAGGAAGCGGATTTCCTAGTGGCAGAAGGAACGTCCCTCCACCCCCTGTGGCTGCAGCCCCTCTAAACTGTGAGAAGGGACAGGGGTTGCAGCTTTCCTATTTGCCCACTGAGCCCAGCATAGGGCCTGGCCTTCGGGTAGTTCGGGAGTAGTGCAGTGGACAGGTTATTTAAAGGGACAGAAAGGGAGCGGGAGGGAACTTATCTGCAATGTCTAATGTCCACTCCATGACCTCAACAAGAAGTTGGCCAAACACTGGGAGCTTCTTTTTGATTCAGGGTCTCAAAAGTACTTGGCTCATTCAACTGTCCTGGAGAGGAAACCTGGCAGAGAGAGAGAGAGAAAGGAATTAGTATTTGATAATTATTCATGTTAGGTTTTCCATTTATTCTCTCTCTCTCTCTCTCTCTCTCTCTCTCTCTCTCTCTCTCTCTCTCTCTCTCTCTTTTTGGTACTGGGGATTGAACTCAGGGGCACTGGACCACTGAGCCACATCCCAGTCCTATTTTGTATTTTATTTAGAGACAGGGTCTAAATTGCTAGTGAAATTGCTTAGTGAAATCCCGTTTCCTTGATGCTTTTGCTGAGGCTGGCCTTAAACTTGGTGATCCTCCTATCTCAGCCTCCTGAGCTGCTGAGATTACAGGTGTGTGCCACTGCAACTAGCCTTATTCTCTCTTTTAACCCTTGTGACAACCCCAAGAAATTGAAGGCCTTCCTGCATTTGAAGGGAAAGAAGATTCAGAAGAGAAAGGGCTTGCTGCAGATCTCTAGCTAGTAATTGACAGGCCTTGGATTCAGAATCCAGGCCTCTTTTTAAATTGCTGAGGCTGGCCTCGAACTTGTGATCTTCCTGCCGTTAGTCGCCTGATTAGCTGGGATTAGACTCATGGGCTACCACAGTGTCCTGCTTGAAAGAGGCTTCTTTCTAAGGAGAATGTGTCTGATCTTCCATGCACCAAGGGAGAAAGAAGTATGGAGGGTGAAGAACAAAGGATTATCAAAACCACCACGGTAGGCAGAGTTAGAGATCTACCACCCTTACCAGAAAAAGAGAAAAAATTCCCAGTTGCAGGTCCTAGTGGTGGCATAGGGCAAGGTGGAGATGGTCAGCACCTGCTGACTTAGGTCCCGAAGGGGCAAAAAAGAGGGTCTCCACCTGCCCGGGTCAGTGGACCCTCCAGCTCTGCTTCTTTGGCTCCACCTCTAAACTCTTTCCCATGCCAATAGCACAGTCCTTAATGGAGGACCCAGATGGCAAGGGAGGGTCCAGGAAATAGCTGAAGATGCTGAGCAGGCCTCCCTCTCCCCCCTCCTATGGCCCCACATATCATCCGGTGCTGCGGGCCCATCTCATTGGCTCACTCCTCCTTACTCATCTCTCCTCTTCTCCAGGCTGTGGTTGCTGTGGAAACACAGAAGAGTGACATCAGCATAGGGAGCAGGCTGAAGAGATGCTGCTCTTGGCAAGCACTGGTTCTGCTGCCTGCCAGATGTTATAGCCACATCTGGATCTGCCAATAGCAAGAACAGGAAAAGGACAGGACTCATAAGTGGTCCCTTCCAAGACTGCCGTGAGCATAGTAGGGCAAGGAGGGTGCAGGTACTCAGAGTGGGGAGGAGAGCACTGTACATACTTCAAAGGGAAGATGAAAAATTTCTGGCATGGTGGTTGTTCCTAAATCCTAGTAACTCGGGAGGCTGAGCAGGGGTTTCAAAGTTCAAGCCAGCCGGGGCCATTTATCCAGACTCCGTAGAGAGGGCTGGGGATGTGACTCAGCGGTAGTGCACCCCTAGACTCAATTTCCAGTAATGAACATCACACACACAAAGAGTCAGAAAAAGAGAGGAAGGATGAAAATCAGCAAAAGGAGGATGAGGTGTGACTTAGAAGTCAAACTTGGTGACATGGGTGAGAGCAGGAGTAGCTCATGTGGGGTTTGTCAGAGTGCCTCAAAACCCAAGCTGGACCTCTTCTGTCCGTCTTCGCAGCTGTAGCAGTTTCTAGTCTTGTCTCAGGATAAAGAAGTAAGGAGTGGGGCTGGGGTTGTGGCTCAGTGGCGGAGTGCTTGCTTAGCATGTGTGAGGCACTGGGTTCAATTCTCAGTACCACGTACAAATAAATAAAGGTCCATTGACAACTAAATATTAAAAAGTAGTAGTAGTAGAAGAAGAAAGGAGAAGCAAAGAAACCGGCCTTGGGTGACCGAGCAGGGGAGGGGCAGGGTTCAGACTCTTAGGTATCCTGTATCATTCACCAAGAGAATAAAAACCATGTATCAGCCAGACGCCATGGCTGTAATCCCAGCTGCTTGAGAAGTTGAGGCAGAAGGATCCAGAGTTCAAAGCCAGCCTCAGCAAAAGCAAGGCGCTAAGCAACTCAGTGAGACCCTGTCTCTAAATAAAATACAAAATAGGGCTGGGGGTGTGGCTCAGTGGTTGAGTGCCCCTGAGTACAATCCCCGGAACGCCCCCCTCCCAAAAACAAAAAACAAAACAAAAAAAAACCAAAACCAATGCATCAGGAGTGAATATTTAGTGAATCATGCTTAGCATTTTAAATGTGTTCTTCTTCCCCAAATACCTCTATTTCAAAGATGAAACAGAACCTCAGAGTGACTTAAGTGAATTGCTGAAGGCCATAGACAAAATCCAGTGGAGTCAGGATGAGGACACATCTTTCTGCTGGCAGTTGCCAATCCAGCTGCAGCCCTCCCCCACTGCAATGTGCAGATCATGTAGGGAAATGGCTTAGGGACTTGGGTGTTTGTCCACTCAGTGCTTGAGAAAGGAGGACCATGGGTGAGGGTGTAGCTCAGTGGTTTAAAGAACTTTCCTAGTGTGTGCAAGGCCTGGGTTCAATCCCCAAACTGCAATAAATAAACAAATAAAATGGCCACTAACCCTACTCACACTTAAAAAATAAATGAGAGGAGGCCCTGTGTCTTAAGGTTGTGTGACCTTGAAGTGAGGTCACCAGGGCTCCATGCCGAGCCCTGAGGCCTGTCCCTATAGCTTTGGCATAAATGGGCCTTCTCAGTCTTCTGGCAAGTCCAAAGGAATCAAGGCCTTGGTGGGTGAGGGAGAGGCCTCTTCCTCCTGGGCCTTCTTCCCAGAACAGCCAGGGGAAGGGAAGAAGAGATTTCCACTTGGAGAAACAGGCCCAGGGAGGAAGATCTGCCCCATTATAGGTGTGTGGCAGAGCTGGCCAGCCCCCCTGGGCTCCTGGGTGCCTTTCTGCAGTTCATTCCCTCCTGTGCAGGGCCTTTCTGCTGGGAATTCACTCACACCTCTCTTGGGGGCAGGGCGTGGTGGGGTGGGGGGCAGGGTTGGGGAGGGAGCCTTCCCTGAGGCTCCAGGTCAGGATCAGGACAGGCCTCCTATCAATTCACCACACTAGTTGAGTGAGTATTCCCCAAGACTAACTACTTGAGCATGGGTTGTGTTTCCTGTTGTCTCTCCACAGCAGTTCCCAGCACAAAGCAAGTGTGTGTTTGTTTTATATTTGTATTTACAGATGGACACAATACCTTTTTTTTTTTTTTAGTTTTTTAATGTGGTGCTGGGGATCAAACCAATGCCTCACATATGCTAGGCAAGCGCTCTACCACTGAGCCACAGCCCCAGTCCAAAGCAAGTGTTTTAATAACTGCTGAATTAATGAATGGGTTCTTCTGAGGTTCCATTTATTCATCCGCAAAAAGGAAATAACGTCTACTTCAAGGACTTTGTTTAGAAAGTTCAACGTGACAATGTACTTAAATGCAACAAACATCAATATAAGGAGGGTCTTTTCGATATAAAAAAGTGCTTTGTAAACTGTAAAGTGCCGAAACAACCGCACAGAGGGCTCTCTAAAGGAGGTGCCCAGGAGAGTGTTGGCAGGCTGGTGCCAGGTCAGGGAGGGCTGCGGGTTTCAGGCAGGTGGGGGAGGTGTCCTTGGGCCGCGAAGAACTCAATGGACAGAATTTCTGAAGGTGGGTGAAGGGAATGACCTGAGCGCAAGCTCAGAGGTCACCGGAGGGTGGGGAGTTGGGTCGCCCGAGGAAAGACGCCGGCAAGCGACATTCCGTAGGGAGGGGCAAGCACGTGTCGGGTGGGCGCCGGGAAGGGTCACGCTTTCTCCGGGAGCAGGTGAGGACGCAGGGACAGCTCAACCACGGACGGTGCCCACGGTGACTCTCCGAGCCCCGCCCCTGGGCAGTGGGAGGCGGGTGCCAGGCTTGCCATCTGGGCTTCAATTCGCTCCCCATTACAATGACCTTGTCCGTTGCCCCTCTGAGCTTCTGGCTCCTCACCTATAAAATAAAGACCAAGATGCCGGGGCCACCGGAGTCAACCAGCTTTCCCCAGCGGGGTCACCGGGCAAGGGCGAGTTTCCTTTGTCCTCTAGTCTCATCTCGGCCGCAGGGACAGGGTGACGGACGCTCCGGTGGGTGCGCAGTGGCTCTCGGGCCGGCGGGGCCCCAGCTCTTCCATCTCAGATTCCGAAGAGCGCCCTGAAGCCAGGGAAAGGAGCAGGTGTTGCCAGCGTGGGGATGGGACTCCGCGGCCGGGGCGGGGCTGGCGCAGTTGAGCCGGGACCAACGGCTGGTCCCCTCCCGCCTGACCAGTGGGGGAGGGGCGCCCAGCCCCCAGGCGAGCCAGCGCTGGCCCTGGGCTTCCTATTTCGGCAGCCGGGGGGCGTGGGCCACGGCTCATCATGTGATGCCAGGACTATTTAAAGCGGCAGCTCGGTCGGAGAGCCGCGGTCCCGGAGTCTACAAGCCTTCCATCTCTCGCAGCTTGCTTCTCAGCCTAGCCCAGCTTCACCATGGTGGACGCCTTCGTGGGCACCTGGAAACTAGTGGACAGCAAGAATTTCGATGACTACATGAAGTCACTTGGTGAGCGAGCAGCCAGGCTCTGGATGCCGGCTGGGAAGGGGCTTGCCGCGCACCTAGCTCGGCACAGCGCTCTGCTACTCTGGTTTCTTGTACGCTGGCCGCATCCATTCCTCCTGGACAAGGTTGGATGACGGGGCTCAGAGGTGGCAGCCTGGGCCAGGGCGTGGGGAGGCCTGTTGAGTTGGGGCTTTCATGGTCCGAACCTGCCAGGGGTCTACCCGGATAAGGAGGGGCAGGGAGAAGGCCGCTGTGCCCTTAGATGATGTCAGGCAGGGAGTCGCTTTCGAGGAAGAGGAGTATATGACCTGGAGGTGGGGGGGGAGGGTTTGGATAAGAGCACTGATCAAAGGCCCTGGGTGAGCCTGGGGAGAAAGAACGGGAATGGGTGGCACAGAAACCGGAGGAGTCTGAATCCGGAAAGGGATTGGGACAGATAGTGTACTGTGGCCTAAAGAAGTAGGAAAGACCGAGGAAGAGATTGAATGTTAAAGGGAGAGTCATTGGTCTAGGAGAGTATGGAGAACTGTGATTACAGAATGGGGAAGAATAGTTTCAAAGAATCCTACAGGTAAGGACCCTGGGAAAACTGAGGCCAATATCAAGTAGAAATTTGTCATATAAATTCCATAGCTGAACTGGTAAGAAAACCCAGGACTTAAGCTCTATAACCCACAGCTCTTCCCACTACCCTATAGACACTGGGAGTGAGAGGAACTGCTTATCCAAAGACTGACCTCAGCCCTTCCTTTACTAGTTTGCTTAGATGGAGGTGATAACCTTTCTCTGAAATTCTGGGCTCTGTTCTAGCCCATCAGGCTGGGACAGGGAAGCCTGGGATGATGATCATGGTTGAGCTAGGTTCCATGCCTTGCTTCCAAGGAAGAAGGGCTGCTTGAAGCAGATAGGCAATGGTTGTATGTGGGGGTCCCTCTCAATTTTTGCTCCTAGTCCTCCCTTGGTATAGGTACTAAAAGTGTGGCTCTTGAGGTCAGAGCTCTCAGTTGCACCTATTCTGTCCTGCGGACATGCCTAGTGACTCCAAGAAAGCAACTGTTGTTTGGAAGAGAAGCACGAGGCCTCACACAGCTGTTGGGGAATCTGGATTGCCTAGGTTTAGTTCCTCTTCCCAAAGCAGACATTTGGGCCAAAGGCCTGAGTCCTTGAACTGGGCTGCAACAAGCCCAGTTATTTCATTATTCTGCCCAACTCGGCCAGAAGCCAGGTCTCCCTAAGGACCTGTCATCTTTGGGCAGGTTTTGTCTTTGGGTGCTAGAATCAACTCTGGACCTGAAACATACTAAGCATGTGTTCTAGCACTGAGCTATGCTCTTAACTCATGACAGCTTCTTATGTTAGAGGGCTGAGATTCTATTTAGCCTGCTTTTCTCAGATGAAAGCCTGAGGCCCACTGAAGAAGGGAAAAAGAAAATATTTAAAAAAGAGAGAGAGAGAGAGTCTGATTGTCTTGCACAGTTGGTCTCAAATTCCTGAGTTCAAGTGATCCTCGCACGTCAGAGTTGGAGTCTGGGGCTGGGGTTGTAGCTCAGTGGAAGTGTGCTGGCCTAGCATGTGTGAGGCACTGGGTTCCATCCTCTGCACCACATATAAATAAAATAAAGGTACACTGACAAGTAAAAAATATTTTAAAGAAATCTAAAAAAAAAGTATTGTTCATCTACAACTGGAAATATTTTAAAGAAAGAAAGAAAGAAAACAAAACACCACCTCAGCTCTCAGGAGCTAGCTTTGGCTTCATTTCCTTTTCTTTTTTTGTGGTACTGGGGACTGAACCCACGGGTGCTCTATCACTGAACTATGCCCTCAGCCATTTTCCTATTTTTTTTAAAGGTGGACAATATCTTGGGGCTGGGGATGTGGCTCAAGCGGTAGCACGCTCGCCTGGCATGCATGCCGCCCGGGTTCGATCCTCAGCACCACATACCAACAAAGATGTTGTGTCCGCCGAAAACTAAAAAATAAAATTAAAAAAAAGGTGGATACATCTTTATTTTTATGTGGTGCTGAGGATTGAACCCAGTGCCTCACACATGCCAGGCGAGTGTGCTACCACTTGAGCCACATCCCCAACCCATTTTTCTATTTTTTTAAAATATATTTATTTATTTTTTTTAGTTCTTGGCAGACACAACATCTTTGTTGGTAATGTGGTGCTGAGGATCGAACCTGGGCCGCACGCATGCCAGGCGAGCGCGCTACCGCTTGAGCCACATCCCCAGCCCCCATTTTTCTATTTCTTGAGACAGAGTCTAAGTTGATGAGGCTGGCCTTGAACTTGCTAATCCTGTCTCCCAAGTCAGTGGGATTACAGGCATGAATCATCTTAGTTTCTTGTGTCTCAGTCCCACACTGTATGTCCCTAGATAGGTCCTGAGCAAACAGCTTCTGGTTGCAGTGACCAGGCCCACTTCTGCACTAGGGAGTATAACTGGCCTGACTCACTCTGATATCAGGAGGTAAGGCCCAGTCCCTCAATGGCCAGGTAGGGTGGGCTGGCATCAGTAGAACTGCAGAGTCAGTCCCTGCACCTTGTGCCCTAGACCAAGGGTTCTCGAGAGGCAGAAAGGCCTAGCTTAGTCCCACTGACCACAGGCACAACTTGTAGCCTTGGTGCATGCATTTGTGCTGGGCAGAATGGCATAGTGGGAACAGTGAACAGTCTGGGAGTCTAGAGCAGTCACTTGCTTTTTGACTTTGGATAAGACACCAGACAGAGCCTCATTTGTGGACTGGGAACAATAAAACTTACCCTTAGGGCTGTTCCAAGCATTAAGTAAAACAACCTGTGTAGAACATGTACAAGGTACACAGCTTCCAGCAGGCACTATGTACTCAGGTACATTAGAAAACCAGACACCACTTCACTACCTCTGGCCCCACCTCTGCCTTGGGGGACAGCTCAGCACAGGCTGCTGGGGGCAGCTGGGCACAGCAGTCATGATCAAAGTTCAGTAGCAGAAGGACAGATTCCAGGAAAGCTGCAACCTGAAAGGATGAAGGCTTAGCCTAGAAGTTTGGTGTTCTTTTGCTTGTAGGACACTCAGGACTTTGTCCAGCACCCAGGGAAGCCATGCATAGGCCAGGAGAGTCCCCATAGGACTTCAGGCTAGGAGTCAGGAGATGAGTTTTTCTTAACTCATTGTGGTTACCACCTTAGGCTTCTCCCAAGTCTCCTAGATTTGTACCTGATTCCTAAATCGGTCGTATGGCCACATTTGGGGGATAAGAGTACTAATGCTTCTCAGGGGTAAAAATTTCCAAAGGTGGAAAATTCTTGTTCCTAGGGCTTTGGAAGCCAAAGTCCACTTTACCTGAGCTTGAGCAACTCAGGTGCCCTGGAGGGTCGCCTGGTGCTGTGTCTTGGGAGGTGGCATGGAGGAGCAGATAAGTAAGCTCTGTAGTGAAACAGTTAAGGCTTCAACTTCAGGTTTGTGACCCTGAGCTTAAACTCCATCTGTGTTTACATCTGTAGAGATACAGTGTAACTGTTATCAACCCTGCAAGGGGGCAGGAAAGACTGAACTGTGTACTTGGTACCTTATTATTTTTGGTACTGGGGATTGAACCTGGGGTATTCTAGTACTGAGCTATATCCCCAGCCCTAAGTCAGGGTCTTGCTAAGTTGTTGAAGGTTTCACTAAATTACCTAGTCTGGTTTCAAACTTGTCATTGTCCTGCCTCAGCCTTCCAAGTAGTTAGGATTATAAGTGTGTCACCATGCCTGGCTACCTGATACCTTATTCCAGTCTCAGTTCTGTCACTGTCTTACTATGGCATGCCTGTTCCTTATATTGGGGTTAAATTTGTTTGCTTCATTGTAAGAGGAAGACTGAATTTTTAAAAATAATAATGGCAGACAGATACAGCAGCAACACCTGTAATCCCAGTGAGCTGGGAGGCTGAGGCAGGAGGATCACAGGTTTGAGACCAGCTTTAGCAATTTAGTGAGGACCTGTCCCCAAATAAAAAATAAAAAGGCTGGAGATATGGCTCAGTAGTCAAGTGCCTCTGGCATAGAAGGCCACACAAAGACTTAGGTTGATTCTGGTCTAAGAATCATTCTTTGAGCTTGTGCAGTGCCTCTCAGTGGCAGCTCATATTCTCATAATCTTCCCCTCGCCCTCAGGTGTAGGCTTTGCTACGAGGCAAGTGGCCAGCATGACCAAGCCCACTACAATCATCGAAAAGAATGGGGACACCATCATCTTAAAAACACAGAGTACCTTCAAGAACACGGAGATCAGTTTTCAGCTGGGGAAGGAGTTTGATGAGACTACAGCAGATGACAGGAAGGTCAAGGTGAGTCAGGGAAGGGGGCATGGGGAACAAGGGTATTGAGACCCTTGTCATTGCACCCTGAGGAGCAGGCTCTCATAGGCAACTTGCATGACACAAGGTTTCATAAAGCCTGTTCAGTGCTGGATTGTCCTAGGTGCTAAATACATATTAGTTCTGTCCACTTGTTTTCTTTCCTCCTTTCTTGGGACTCAACTACCAGCTGCCTCTGGGAGTGGGCGGCACAGAGCCAGAATGTTCTGACCTTGTGCTCCTTTAGCTCCAGCTGGGTGACCTTGTGCAAGGTATGCCACAGCACTGGGTTTCTTTCCCCTTCCATAGACGGAGTTAAGTGGCCGTGGCTGTGATCTGAAGTGCTCTGGGATTGATGCACAGGAGAAACCAGGGCCCTCCACTAGTAAGGTTGTCCAGGCCTCCATAGCTAAGCAGGCAGCTGGGAACAAGAGACTGAGACCTATCCAGATGTTCCCTCTTCTGCAACCTGTAACTCCCAAGCCTGGCCAGTGACCCTGAAAGTATTTCCAGTGTGGCCACCTGACAGGCAGTTAGAATCGTGTTCTGAGGTGGCCACTCAGCTGTCATGGGTGTTTGTAGTCTTCCCACAGTCTTAACTCCCTCTTCCAGGGGGTGGGTAGTAAGCATCTACCCCCAGTCTCAGTTCTCTGTTACCCCATGATGTTTTTGTCTTGGCAGCTTGCCTCAGGATTCCCAGCTCTGGACCAAGCATGGGAGAGAAATAAGGGACTCTGACTTCTAGGGTGTCTCTAAGCAGTGTCCTCTTCACCAGTACCCTAAAACACAGCTCAGCTGTTTCCTCTTCCTCACAGTTGCCTACAGGAAGAACAGGGTAGGGGCTGTTTTCCTTGCAAAGGGAGAGGAGTTAAAGCCCAGGGCAGGATTGCCCAGCAGGCTGGCAGCGGAGCAGGGGATGTTGGTTGCCCTAAGAAAGAAGCTGACCTTGGAAGGTCACAGCCCCACCACACACCACATATCCCTACCTCCTTAAGCTTGCCATATTCTTGAGGGGCAAAAACCCCATTCAAACACAGGGATGTGAATGTGAGGGCCAAAAATAATCTGCTCTGAGTGGGCAAAAAACTTAGGAGGGATGAAAATGAGGAGTAAGGTGGGCTACAGACAGCATAGCAAGATAGAAGCAACACAAACACATAATATGACCTTCTCATCTCCTGCTGAATCTTGCTTAGCAAGGTTCCCAAGTCTGGACTATAGCCCCCAAATTCCTAGAGAAGAGAGACCTGGGCAAGTTGCCAAATGAGAACCAGCTGATGCAGGCTGGCAGCACCCAGAGGACTAAGTGGGCCTTTGAGCCAGGGACACCCAGTCCTAGGACCTTGTAGTTGCTGCCCTCTTGTCAGCTGAAGGGGATCACATGATGTGGACTGAGAAGAGAAGAGGGAAGCCTAATACTCCCCATCTAAGGGTCTTTTAGGCACTGTGATGACCACGACCAGAAAGAGGTCCTCAGAACTCTTCCTCAGCTTTGTCAGGAATATGTACAGGTACATGTCTTCTTTATCTTGGAGGAAGCAGGGCTGTGGATATCACATAGCAGACACGATAAGTGCTTTTTTTTCTCTTTCTTATCCTGTTCCTCAGTCCTGGCTCAGATCACTGCTCAGGCCTCTACCCTTTTTCCACAGTCCACTGTGACGCTGGATGGAGGAAAACTTGTCCACGTGCAGAAGTGGGACGGGCAAGAGACTACACTTGTGCGGGAGCTAAATGATGGGAAACTCATCTTGGTAAGATGGGCAAGTGTGGAGCCTTAGCTAACTGGTTACTAACCTGTAAAAAGCCAAACCTGTAAAAAGCCAAGGTCATCCCCAGGAGCCATCAAAGCTGGGATAGGAGAGGCAGAAGAAAAGTCATAGCTTTGGACTCACAAAGGTCTGGGTTTAAATCTGTTTATAGGCTACATGACTTGGACAAGTGACCTTCTCCAAGTGCAACGATAAAGTGGGTATTAATAACACCCACCTTTTAGTGCTTCTGGGAGGTCTGAAAGAGACTGGGTATGCACAGCAGAAACCCTCACTGGGGAGGGAGGAGGATAGCGGATGCTCCACAGCCCAAGAAGAGATGGGAAGCAGGGCCAATTTGACTCCAGGCTCTCCAGGATAGGCTCCCATTTCCTTCCCTCTCCTCTCTAGTATTATGCTGTCACATGCAGGGGAAGCCTGATGACTGGAGGCACTGATGGACAGCACAACCCTTTCTTCCCCATTCCAGTAAGACCTCCTCTTAGAGTTAGTTCTAGGTCTGGCCTCCTGCAAGTATCTGATTATTGCCTGGGTAAAAAGTAGCAAAAATGGCTGGCAGATCTGTCTATTTAGACAAGCTTGGGGGCTTCACTTGGAGAATGTACCCTTGAGGGAACTCTTCCCCCAGATTCAGGGCACAGATAGCAGCCACTGGGATCTCTACCTTCTAACTCTGCAGGGCCTCAGGTTCTTAACTCAGCATCTTCACTGCAGACCTTCCTGGGGAGCATAACTTGCTACCTTTGTTCTTGCACTCAACATGGGGCCATTCTTGAATTCAGAGCTAGGAATGAAGTTCCTAGCTTTGGTGGGAATAGCACAAACAGGACCAAATACTCACTGGCTGTTCAGACTATTGTGAGGCCATGGCTTGCCTCTATGACACCAGACGGGTGGGGATCTGGCCCCGGCCCTGCCCCAACTTAGGGAACTTAGGGGAAGAATGGAGAGTTGGTAGCTTAGCACAGCCATTCCTCAAGTATCTCTGGACATTTTTATTCACCTATTTGTCTACTATGTGCCAGGCACCATCTTACCCATAAGGATGAAGGAAGCTGAATGATGTAAGAAAAAGAGAAACAAATTGTATCTTCTTTTAAGATAAATAATAAATCTCTAAAGTAGGAATTATAGCACCTACCTTAAAAAAGACTTGGTACATATCAGAAATGTAAAGTACCTGGCACATAGTAGGTACTCAAGTGACACTCATCAGGATGAGTAAGTACTCCTGAGGTCTTTTCCTGTCTGACTCTCATCTTTCTTTCCAGACACTCACCCATGGCAGTGTAGTGTGCACTCGCACTTACGAAAAAGAGGCATGATGCACCAGCACTGTCACTGACTGTTCCTCTGTCAACTGGCCACCCCTGGACTCAGCACCACATTGCCTCATTTTTTTCCTCTGGCATTTTGTATAAACCTACTTTGAGGAATTCTTCTGGGATCAGGTGACACCAGCCTGGATCCCCAGTTTCCATTGTGTATGTATGTGTTTCTTTTTTTTTTTTTAACTGTATCCAATATGCTCTGAAGTCAATAAAGCAGAGCAGAGGCCATGCAGTTGCCTCTGGTGATGTGGTTCTGGGAGTCTTAAGTTTTCCCCAGGTGTCAATGGGCAGAAATAACTGCTTTAAGGTCACTTGAAACACTGGATGAGAAGCTAAAATGGACAATGTCAGGGACATTCAATGATGATAGCTGCACCTACATCTTGCCTTGACATTGCTCCTCCCTGGGTCAAATCACCTATTCCAGTCATTGGCGCGTTGACCACTGAACTGTCACCCCTGGCCCATACTGCACTGAGTACTTTCTTTTGTCTGGCTCTTTGTGGGATGCTGTGGTTTCTCCCTTCCCAGAGTACAAGATCACAGGATCCAGGCTTGGGCTACTGTGGGAGAAGATGACCAATGGCCAAGATACTAATAAGCTCTCATTATGCACCAGGCTAGTACTCAAAGGTTATAAATTCTTACTGGTTCTCTAATCAACTCTGGGAAAATAGATCATCTGATCATTACAGAAGGGTTTATAAGTGATCTTCCAAGAAAGCTGTGGCCTGCTAGTACCTTTAGCTTTGTATCAGCCCTTGGCTAGGCTTCTCTCCAAGGTCTAAGGGAACATATTAAATGTTTTTCTATAAACTAATGTAGATTCAGTGACTTTAAATCTGTTATGTTAACCAAGAAGAAGGATTATAAGAATAAGAACTTTGAGCAGGTTTCAAACCAAACACATTTCCATTTAGTGCCAGGAATTTAAGCACAGACCTGAAGTGGAACTAGCCAAATCATACAGTAATAAATAGAAAGTAGAGCAATGACCTTGGCTTCATATGTCTGGTTCAGTGGTCTGTTGGAATGTCATATACAAGATAAGTCAAACTGCAAATGACTGTTTTATGGCTGTGGTCACTGGCTGTCACTTCTAGCCTAGTAGAACCATACTAGGGAATGGAAAAAGTGAGCACCACTCCTTACCACGTTCTCCCTCTTGCTGCCAGTTTCCCTCTGCTCCTACATACACAGCATAAACTAACCCATCGCCTGGTTCAAGACAGACAACAGGAAGGCACCAGTCACTGTTCAAATAACAGCCAGGCTCTCACCTCCACAGCAGTACTTGTGGCTTTAGCCTGGACTCCTATAAAGGTATCCAGCTCTGGCAGTGGTAGCTGAGGAGGGTAAACAGACCTCCTGCTGAATGAAAAAAAATAGGGTGAATGAATGGGTGGGACTCAGGGGTCAACTGCAAAGAGATCAGAAGCAGTAAGGAAAGAACAACTCATTCAGGTGGCTGCTTCTGACCTGTAACTCCCAAACCTGCTTGCTGCATTCCCATAGTTGTCAACGGGGTGGGAGGCCATATTCTCACTATTGAGTCTTTTCAGGAGCCAGAGCTTCAAGGCACAAAACTCCTGGTTCCTTATTCTCTCAACCACCCCGTCATCTCTTTTCTACTCTCATTCCTTGTGCTTCTTCTTATGCTTCTTCTTCTTTTTCTTCTTCTTAGCCGCCTTGCTATCTTTTGATGTGTGCTTTGCTCTCTTGCCCGTATCACTCTCAGAGTCTGAGCTGTCGGAGTCAGATGACTTCTTGTCTCTATGTTTCTTTTTCTTCTTTTCCTAAAAAGAAAAATTTAAAATTCAACATTGTGCATGTATATTTGCTTTAAAAAAATATCACAGCTGGTAATCAGAAGGGAGCTATTTAATAAGTTAGAAGACAATAAATAAAAGCAATTAAGTAAAAAATAGCCAAAACAAGTGAAAGAACGAAGACAATACAATATCTATTATATAAATTCCAGTATATATAAAACATACATGGATACATGTGTACTATACAGAGTTGTATGTTTATTTTTAAGTTTTTTATGTTTTTGTGGTACTGGGGATCAATTTATGGTGAGGCTATATCCCCAGACCTTTTTGAGACAGGCTCTCACTAAATTGCCTAGGCTGGTCTCAAACTTGTGCTCCTCCTGCCTCAGCCTCCTGAGTAGCTGGGATTACAGGCATGTGCCACAATGTTGCACTATGTGTACACATTTATACATACATACATATATCCAGTATATACAGAAAACACTGGAAAAGACTCCACAACTGGTAAAACGGGTTATTTCAGGAATGAACTCAAGGGGGGACGGAGTTCCTTTATTTTTTTGGTTAAAAACATCTATCACTTCCTTTTCTTTCTCTCAGTACTGGGAATTTAACCCTGGGCCTCATGCATGGTAGGCACATGCTCCACTACTGAGCTATTTCCCCAGCCTTTTTATTTTAGGTCTTGATAAAGTGCCCAGGCTGTCCTCTAACTTGCAATCCTGCAGCCTCAGTCTCCTAATGGGACAATGACATGTACCACCATGCCTGGCTCTATTACTTCCATTTTTAAAAAAGTAGGATACTAAAGATGAAAGAGATCTCTAGAGATTACCTAGTCTTATCTAGAGACAGTGATTCACCTAATATTACAAAATAAAAGATTTATTAAGAGTTGTCTCCCAGTCTGTTTTCTGTTAGACTCTGTTGCCAAGAAAAAAAAAAAAAATCCCTTCCATCAATGAGCTTCTACCTGCTCTCCTTGAATATTTATCATGTCTAACTTTCACAACAACCTTGCAAGAGTATACTGATAAAGAACTGTCCCTAAACTAGACCCCCCACGCCCCCTACACACCATGCTGCCAAGAGTAACCAGTACAAACCCACACCAGAGATGGAAAGCAGGCTCCTAGGCTTCTATAGGGAAGTTGAAGCAATTTTAAGCATTACCTATGTCTTTTCCTTTAGTAAAGTTTCTTTTCTTTTTTTTTTTAAGTACTAGAGATTGAACCCAGGGACACTTTACTATTGAGCTACATCCCCAATCTTTTTTTATATTTTATTATCCCCATCTGCCCCCCAACCCCCTTTTTGTACCAGGGATTAAACCCAGGGGCACTTAACCACTGAGCTACATCCCCAATCTTTTTTTTTTTTAAATTTTAATATTTATTTATTTATATTCTCGGCGGACACAACATCTTTGTTTGTATGTGGTGCTGAGAATTGAACCCGGGCCGCTCACATGCCAGATGAGCGTGCTACCACTTGAGCCACATCCCCAGCCCATCCCCAATCTTTTTATATTTTATTTAGAGACAGGGTCTCACTGATTTGCTTAGGGCCTCACTAAGTTGCTAAGGCTGGCTTTGAATTCTCCTACCTCAGCCTTCAAAGTGAGTACTGGGATTACAGGCATGCTGTACTTCACCCAGCACCTTATTAAGGTTTTTAAAAGTGGAAGAGACTATGGGAGGAAAAAAGGGAGAATGCAGAAAAGGGTGAAGCCATTGCTCTTCCTGCAGGCTTCTAACCAACATCCTGAGAGAAGCTGGCTGTGAGATCACAGTGAACTAGGTGTTCAACCTAGACCCAAGAAGTTACTATTCAGTAACCTTGGCCAGTCATCTCACCTCATTGAGGCCCAGCCTCTGCAAATGGAAAAAAGGTAAGAACAGTACTTATGTCACATGGATGTGGTGATTTAATGAGACAGTTATCTATGGCTTTGAGAAGTTGGAAGCAACTTGTCCCAGATCACAAAGGCAGGAATGAGACATGCATATGGATGATGTGAATGAAAATCTCCTGAGTTATCCTATGTGTAGCACAAGGACCCTCTTCCTATAGAATTATGAGAGGCATCATGGTATGATGAATGATTTTTAAAGAATTAAATTCAAATTTTAGCTCTGCCACTTAACTTACTATGTCACTTGAAACATGGGACCTACCTTTCTTGAATCTCAGTTTTCAGTGAATTAGAAATAATAAGTATCTTTAATTAGAATTAAATAAATTCTAACTGTAGTGCCTGTGCCTGATTCGTTATGCCTAAGTAATTAGCAGTATGTTTTTCAGTGCTGAGGATCAAGCACATGGCCTTTGCACATGCTACACAAGTGCTTTACCACCAAGCTATAGAATTATTTTTCTCTTATTTCAGAGAACTACCAGAATGTTCTTATAGTCTGACCAGGTGATTATAGCAGATGAGTCAAGTTGTAAAAAGAGGTTAAACCAAAACTCTTTCTTGGTAACTCCAATGGAGTAGTGAGTAGTTACAAAGCTCCCTGGACCCACTATAACAAGCATGGGTGGGAAGAGCTGAGATTTAGCCAACTGATGGTTTGGCTTATGGTGATGCACCTTCCTAGATGGCAAGACCACACGAGTCCATCACAGGGCTTGGGAGTCTCACGAGTATCTGCTCCTTATGGAGGGTAGGGTCCTAGGCAAGTAAGTAAATACAGTCTGGCACCAATTCCCTCTAAGCCTGGCCCAGTCTGGGTAAGGAAATAATAATATTGTCTTATAAAAAAGCACTACCAGCTTCAAGTTTTTTTGTTTTTGTTTGCTTTTTCTCTCTTATGGTTCTGGGGATTAAACCCAGAGGCACTCTACCATTGAGATACATCCTCAGCCATTTTTATTTTTTATTTTGAAATTGGGCCTTGCTACGTTGCTGAAGCTGGCCTCAAACTTGCAGTCTTCCTGCTCTGGCCTTCTAAGTCACTGGGATTACAGGTGTGTACCACTGCATACAGCTTGTTTCAAAGTTTTTAGTTCCTAATCATCATCATCATCATCATCATCATCATCATCTGCTGGGGTCAAAATAAATGACTTTTTTTTTTTTTTAGATGGTGTCTCACTATGTTACCCAGGCTGGACTTTATAACTGGCAATTCTCCTGCCTCAGCCTCACAAGTAGCTAGAATTTAAGTGCATGCCACTATCTTCAGATAAAACTCATGAATTATTATTCTCATTTTACAGATGGAAAAACTGCAACTCAGAAGTAAAATGAGTTCACCAAGGTTAAAGCAACAAGAACATTGTCTTTTCTAACAGAGTTTGACAATATTTCTACTTTACTCTCAAGGACACCAGTTGAGAAGGGAAGAATCACTAGAGAACCCTGGCAAGCTGGAACACAGGCTCTAGCTAGTGAAGACTGGGGAGATGGTCTTCTCCTAGACCTCAATCTCAATGCCAAAGTGCTTTTGCAGCCTGAACAAGACAACCAAGGCTCCAGCAACTGGTGTCTTTTTCACTAGTCATCCCTAAGCAAGAGAAGAACAAAAGAACAGTTACTTCAGAAGCTGGAAAGTTGAGAGTTGGGTGGGGGAAGTTCAGCAGGAAAGTTGAGAGTTGGGTGGGGGAAGACCTAGAGGGCTAAAAGCTGCTTCTGGTCCTAGACTGCATTCAAGTACAAAGGGGAACAGAGAATAGAGTAAGCTGAGCATCGTCTTACAGGTCTGTAATTCCAGTTATTTGGATGGCTGAGGTAGAAAGATGGCAAGTTTGAAGCCAAAATGGGAAATTTAGTAAGACCCTGTCTAAAAAAAAAACAATAAAGGGTGTGTGAGTCCACAGCTGACAAGTAAGAAGCACTGGAAAGAAGCCACTGCTCAAACATCTCTGAGACTCTCTCGAGGTAAAAAACACATACTGGTTACTAGAGCATTTCCTCTATAGTCTTGAAACAGGAGAGCAACAGCCCAGTGTGAGAGAAAAACAAAAATAAAAGCAAAGGGCTGGGGATTGGCTCAAGAGGTAGCGCGCTCGCCTGGCATGCATGCGGCCCGGGTTCGATCCTCAGCACCACATACAAACAAAGATGTTGTGTCCGCCGAGAACTAAGAAACAATAAATAAATGTTAAAATTCTAAAAACAAATAAATAAATCAATAAATAAAATAAAAAAATAAAGATATGTGTCCATCTAAAAACTAAAATAAAAAAAAAATAATAAAATAAAATAAATAAAAGCAAAGACTGAGAAAGGGGAATAACAGCAGTAAGCATTTATACAGTATGTAATTTTCTAGATGCTGGGCTGGGTACTTTGCATTAAAACCTCATTTAAACCTTCATCAACAAATTTACCAAGTGGGCATAATTATCAGGAAAAGAAATTATAACCTCAATAAGGATGACTGAGATGAAGCAACTGGCATAGGTGGTTGCACTTGGACATGACTCAGGCTGAGTCCCAAAGCAGATGTTTTTAGTCCTGTCTGTATTAAAGGCAGCACCTAACAGCTGGAGGTGAAAGACTTGTATACTGAAAACTATAAATGTTACTGAAAGACATTAAAGACACAAGGGTGAGGGGTGTAATTCAGTGGTAAAGCATGTGCTTAACATGTGCAAGGCCCTGTGTTTGATCCCCAGCACCATAATGAAATAAGTAAATAATTAATTTAAAGGCCCAAATGGAAGACGTGATATGGTTAAGATGTCTATTCAGGGGATACATATGTAGCTCAGTGAAAGAGCTCTTACAAAGCATGCACAAGGCCCTGGGTTCAATCCTCAGTATGGAGGAGGGGGGAAGGGATGTCCATATATTCCTCCTACCCAAAGTGATCTACAGATCACTAGCTGTTTGACACTTCACACACTGCAACCCCTATCAAAATCTCAATGATTTTTTTGTGTATGTGCGTGTGAAATAGAAAAAAATCATACAGATCACAAAGGACCCTGTATAATCAAAATGATCTTGAAAATGAAGAACAAAGTTGGAATATTCACATTACTCTATATAAAGCTAAAGTAATCAAAACATTGGGTACTGGTATAAGAATAGGCACAGAGACTTACAGAATAGAAATAAGACCCCAGAAAAATCCTCATGTATATGGTCAAATGATTTTTGATGAGGGGGCCAAGATCATTCAATGGGAAAAGGGTAGTCTTTTTAATAGATGGTCTTAAGAAAACTGGATATCTACATGCAAAAAAACTTTTGGACCAGTTGGGCACAGTGGCATATGCAACTAGCAACTCAGGAGGCCGAGGCAGGAGGATTGTATGTTCCAGGTTAGACTTACAATTTAGCAAGACCCTTAGCAACTTAGTAAAACCCTGGGTCAAAATAATTTAAAGGACTGGGTATGTGGATCAGTGGTAAAGCATCCCTAGAATGAATCCTCAAATACCAAAAGAAAAAATCATTTTTTGTACTCTTCTTTTAAATCAATATGAAAATTAACTCAGAATAAATCAAAATCCTAAATATATAACTCTTTGAAGAAAAATAGGGGAAATGTTTCATGACATGACCCGGCAATGGTTTTTTGAGTATGACACCAAAAACAAAGGCAATGAAAGAAAAAACAGGTCACTTGCACTTCATCAAATTATAATTATTGTGCAAGGAATGCTATCATGTGAATATATTTTACAGTACTAAATTATGTATTTAAAAATAGATAAGATGGGGGCTGGGAGTATAGCTCAGTGGTAAGTATTCACCCAGTATGTGTGAGGCCCTGGTTTTGATTCCTAGGACTACCAAAAAAAAAAAAAAAAAAGTTAAGATGGTAAATTTTTGCATAGTCTGAATGTAAGACATGTAAGGAGATAAAATATATAGTAGTAGTGGAAGTAGGAGGGAGAAACAGAATTTTGAGAGGCAATTTAAAATGTGCCCCTGGCAGGACTTGGTGACTGACTAGATGTAGGATAAAAATGAGAAGAGGAGGATTGGGGATGTAGCTTAATTGTAAAGTGCCCCTGGGTTCAATTCCCAGTACTGAAAGGAAAATCATAGTATACCATTTTCTTTTTTTCTTTTTTTTTTTTAAAGAGAGAGTGAGAGAGAGAATTTTAACATTTATTTATTTTTTCTTAGTTCTCGGCGGACACAACATCTTTGTTGGTATGTGGTGCTGCTGAGGATCGAACCCGGGCCGCACGCATGCTAGGCGAGCGCGCTACCGCTTGAGCCACCTCCCCAGCCCCATAGTATACCATTTTCTGATCAAACTATAGCAGAATTTGCTTCCTTTCAGTGAGGTATGCTATTGATGCATGGTTTCTTTCTGAACTACAATACAGTCTATTTTATAAATTGGTCTCTGCTCTAAGTAGTAGAAAAAGAGACAGAACTTGGTGAAGACAGATAATGTTTTACACTTCTGGGGACAGATAGGTACTTTCTAGAAGGCAATTTTATAAAATGTATAAAGTCTTAACTCAGTAATCTTACTTCAGAATCTATGCTTAGAAAATAGTATGAGATGTAGCCAAAAATTCAGGTTGTAAGTAATAAAAAATATTCAGTAATCACAAAGCAAATTAATAATCATATAGCCATGAGGTAGAATACTGTGTTGCTCTTACATCAAATTTTTGAAGAACAATTAAAACTAGAAAGTAAGGGCTGGGGTTGTGACTCAGTGGTAGAGCGCTTGCCTATCATGTGCAAGGCACTGGGTTCGATCCTCAGCACCACATAAAAATAAATTAAATAATGGCATGTGTCCAACAACAACTAAAAATAAATAAAGAAACAAATAAATAAATAAATAAATAATAGACAATAAGATGAAAAATTAGAGTATAAACTATACCTAGTTTGACCATAATTCTGTTTCCATGTATAAATGCACATATGTACATACATATATGCATGTATATATTTATTATGACCTAAAAAAGATTAGAAAATACTAAAAATACTAAAAAATGTCTTTCTGAGTAGAAAGATTACTGGAGATCCTCGATTTTCTTTATTTTTCAGTATTTCTAAAATTTCTGCAAAAAGTACAACTTCATTTTAAAACTTGAAAAAGTATGATAAATACAAGCAAGAAAGCACTCACCTTTTTTCTTTTCCGGGAAGAATTCCTCATGGAATCAGGTTTCTCAAATTCTGCTGACTTTGTCTCTTCTTTCTCCTCTTCTTCATCAGGTATCAGAGAATATTTGGTCCCACCTGGTTGCATGAAGCAATCTTTTGCAAAGTGACCTGAAGAAGAAAAGTAGAAAACGGGGGCTGGGGATGTGGCTCAAGTGGTAGTGCTCTCACCTGGCATGCGTGCGGCCTGAGTTCAATCCTCAGCACCACATACAAACAAAGATGTTGTGTCCGCCGAAAAAAAAAAAATAAAAAATAAAGTAAAAAATTAAAAAATTTTCTCTCTCTCTCTCTCTAAAAAAAAAAAAGTCAGTCCTAATATGGGCTGAGAAAAAAAAATTTTAAAAAAAAAAAAAAAAAAGAAAAGTAGAAAAGGTAGAGAGGGAGAAAGAGTCTCTCCTCTCAGCAGGTGGATCTTCCCCAGAGGGTCTTGACAGGAGCTCAGTGGTTCAGGAGATATTATTGAGTCAGTTCAGAGAAAATTTTCTATCACCTCAAGATGGCTTTGTTCAATCAACCACAGCCAAATAAGCAGTCGACCTTAAGAGTCACAGGAAACACTGATGCTGCTTTGGAAATGGCAGAGTATATGAGGATGCAGGCTTGGGCTGCCCTCCATTAGGCTTATTCATTTTTAAAGATCAGTTTGGGAAGTTATTCCTGACAATAAAAGGCTGCTCCAGAGAATAGGATGCTGATCAGAGGGAGCTGAGTGGCAGGCCAAGCTTTAAAGGAAGAAAGCTGGCAGAAGTGGGCACTCATATCCAAGCTAATACACAGAGAGGCAGGCATAGTTACCTAGAGGCACTCAACATTCACAGATTGTCAGGCCTGGCAAGGGCCTTAGACATCATCACATCCAACATCCTGAATTTGCAGACTGGGAGAGCCTACAGTTAAGAAGTATATCAAGGTCACACAGATAGCCGCAGAGCTAAAACTTCTTACAGGTCCCATGCCTCTCTGCCCTGTGCTCTTTTTGCTGCACCCAAACCAACAACCTTTGGCCTGATCGTTGCTGACTGGGACAAATTCCACCTCTCCGTATTCTTTTCTGCTTTAACATGATGCCTGGTGTATACAAGTTGAAGGCAGGAGATTCTACTTTTCCTGAGCCTTCGGTGCTGTTGAGGGACTGTTAACAGATGCTGTGTCCTACACAGATAGTTTGGTTAAACTTCTGGTGGATCCTGTCTCAGGGCCACAGAGGAATCTCATGAGATAATTAAAAAGCTATGTTGGGGCTGGGACTGTGGCTCCATGGTAGAGCATGCATCTTGCATGTGTGAGGCCCTGGGTTCGATCCTCAGCACCACATAAAAATAAATAAAGGTATCGTGTCCATCTACAACTTTAAAAAAAAAAAAAGCTACGTACACAAGCACTGCTAGGTCCAGAAACTTGATGGTGCCTGAAAAAGGAATATAGTACAGAGTTTTCCAAATATTTGGAATGTCTCCATAATTCCCCTGAGGAGGTATTCTTTCTCTCAATTTTACTTTTCCCTTCTTCCCTCTATGCTAATAATAAATAGGGGCTTAAACTCCACAACTTCAACAAGGGCACAAATCTGCTACTAGTTGTAGAAAGATAAACAAAGATGGTTAGATGGAGGGCTAGGGAGAAGAGGTGACAAATTGAGGTCACTCTGAAAATGAGAAGCTGGCAGGCCTTCTCATTATAGCTCCAACAAGGGAAGTCAGGCTGAAAGAGCTTTTTAATATTTGAGTAAGACTAGAAGAAACCTGAGGAAATAGAGCTAAAAG